GGGTGGATGATGGATGGGTGGATGATGGATGGGTGGATGATGGATGGATGGATGGATGAATGGGTTGACAGGTGGATAGAGAGGTGGCTGGATGGATAGATGGACATATAGACAAATGGGTGGATGGATGAAAGGATGGGTGGATGGATGAGTAGATGTTATATAGCACATTCCTTATTTAATTCCAAGTCTTCAGCTTTGAAAGAAATAAGTATTTAAATAACATGACAAAAATTTATGAGCGTTCCTAAAAATTGTGAACCATCTTTTAGTGGAAAAGAAAACACAGAGTAGTTTTAGCATTGCCAGGGGCGTAAACATTTACACATGGTAATATTCACACAAGCCTCTGGATCAGAGCCTTCAATGAAAAGCAGGTGGGCAAGTCTTTTCACTTCTCTGAGCCTCAGTCTTCCCAGACAGAAAACAAGGTACCGTATGTGCCCCTAGGTCCATGAGACAAAGCACCCAGCAGAGTTGCTGGGACAGAAGAGCCGAGAAGCAAGGGTGGGGAAGAGGTGCCTCCCCGGGGAGCCTTCTTTGCAACTGGAAAGACTTACTCCCGGCTGCTCAAGATTCCCCACATCCTCTCTGTATCTCCCTCTGCTGGAGCCGCCCCCTGCATTTTGCTGGGCGTGCTGAATAAATGTTTTGGAAACCACCTGCTGAGCATGACGGTGAGCAGGCAGCCGAATCAGGAGCCTGGCGCTCCAGACCACGAGGAATCTTGACCGGCCAGGCGAAAACTGCACCCGCATCTACTGCAACGCTGTTCACCCAAAGCTTCCTGAAGAAAGGGCTCCATAACCAATGATTTCTTGTTGCCAACTGTACCTCGGGATAAGATACCCTATCACGGGGGATACAGAAAGATTTACCACTACCTCATGATGCGGGCACTGGGACAGCACCCGACCGAGCTGGCGGTGTGGCCCAGGACGCCTCCCAAGCGGGTTTCGCCTCGATGCCCTTCTGAACGGGGTGGGGCTGGAAGCCACATGGCGAGGGCTGGGCCTTGTCATTTCCACCTGTGCTTCATGACTCACAAAACACAGACTTAGATGACCGAGAATGGGGCAGACCACCCACGTGTGCCACCGCCTTCCACCGCCAAGGGCCCCGCCGCTGCGTCTACGGTCTTCATGTCTCATGGGGGAGACGAGACACAGAGCAGTGAAGCCGTGAGCCCAAGGTCACACAGCTGATGAACGTCAGAACCGGGATTTGAGCTCAGATTCCCTCCTCTTTGGCTGACACCTTTCTGTCTCCTTCAACGTCATACAAAAAAGAACGAGGGTAAGAGCCAGGAAGTTAAAAAGGAAGTGGGTGTTCAGTAGAGAAGAGCCCTGGGCCGGTGTCACCACACTCCAGGAGCACAGGCCACATCCTGAGATACTTTGTTATTCCCACACCCCAACCTGCCATGTAAAATCAACCACAAATTCCACACTCAAACTCCTAAATGTCACTGAGACCCACAGCCCTGGCCCCAGCCACCACCATAATTACCCGAAGGGCTTCAACAGCCTCATAACTGGCTCCCGTCCATGCACCGAGTGCCTACTATGTGCTAGGCTCTTAATGCCTTCTTGATCATTTAATTATCACACGTCAGCCAGTTTGGGGAGGTCCGTACTATCTCCATCATCCCTATTTCATGCAGCAAGGCTCAGAGGTTAATACCTTCCAATTCATTCTCTGCGTGGCAACTGAATGATCTTTTGAACTTGGAATCCCCCTCACTGCCGGCTTAAAACCCTTCCTGGCTTCCCTGTGATCCGAGGGAGGAGGGCAAGGCTGCCCTGGCCCCCAGCATCCAGTCCCCATCTCTGCTTGAAGCTGTGCAGGTACAAAAGCAAAGGAGGACAGTAAGATTGAAAAGGCCGATTTCAGAACAGGTTACATAATTTGTGGGGTCCAATACAAAGTGAAAATGGGGGGTTGTGCATCTTATCAGAAAGTGATTAAGAATTTCAGGACAGCAGCGTCCAGAGACCAGAAGCAGGGCCCGATTGAGCTCAGGCCCTGTGTGTTTGCGCAGGCTGCATGCCTGGGAAGCCGGTCCGGGCTGCTTTCCAGTGGACACTCGCCTGCTCAGAAAAAGCCGGTGAAGCAGAGGGCACCACTGTGCTTTTCTAAACTTCTTACAAACAGAGGCGAAGAGAAAGCGCAGCATGGAAAGGGTGGAAAATGAGAGGAAGGGCGTGGTCGCTGCCCTGCAGGGGAGATAGACAACAAAAATTGCACTTAATGTGAAAAACATAATTAGAAGAACAGGATGAATCGGCTGGGGTCCACCCGAGACGCAGGGAAGCAGAAGCCGGGCCTGCGCCTCAAAGCGTCAAGTCCAGCTGACGCGTTCCCGCAGCCGTCCGGGGAGCCTGTGAGTGCGCCCCATCCACCTGCAGGATGCAAGCCCATCGAGCACCGAGGACCGACCCCGTGACGGTCACGATGTTTGTCAGGATAAAGGACCCCGAAGGGCTTGGCAAATGGAATCCAGGAGAAAACTGGCTTCTGCTGTTTTTGGTTTTGTTTTTGTTTCTTTTTACAGCTTTTCTTATTAAGTTCAGATGCCCTCCAAATTCTGATGACCTTCCCCACAGCAGCAATACAATTATACAGAAAATTGGTCGTAGCGCAAGTTCACAATGTAAAACTTCCTCAGCTGAAGCAATGCAATTATTCAGAAAATTAGTGAAAGCGTAATCGCAGGAAAAGAAAAGGCATCTGGCTCACCAACATCAAGGTGTTCTTTCAGTGAGCGCACGGATGCGACCACAAAGGAGCCATACCCCCCAGCTCTCTGCATCCTGGGCAATGGCATGCCTCAGAGCCTGCTGGAGTTTTCGGTTTGTTTTCGACCGACGTGAGCTGCTTATCAAAATGAGGTTCATGCGGGGAGTGGCCTGGGCCACAAATGCCTTGGGTTTTCTGTGCATTTCAGGACATCAGCGGTAGAGCTCAGCTCGCCTGGTCAGAATCAGTCCTGGCTGCATTCCTTGACGAGCTCAGCCTTGCAGAAGGCAGGGCATTTTGGCAAAGCCGGTCACTGGAACAGGCAGATCTTTAACTTAACCCTTGGCAATTATTAGCTAGATAATGGACATCGGCCGGCATAGCTAAACAGTTAACAGGTAAAGCGTTACTGGGAAAAACAATGAGTGTGGCTTCTGGGGAGGTAAAAGGACTGGGCTCCCCTGCAAACGCTGAGTGATCGATGCAGTCCTGCAGTCAGAATATTTGCGGAGTTAACCGACAGGTGATCAGACAGGTCAGGTTTCTTGTCCGATGCCACACAGCAAACAGGTGACGGGACTGGGGCCGGCTTCGGGGTCCTGGATCCCCGAGCCTGTCGTGTTTTCATCACCTCCAAAGCTGCCCTCTGCGTGAGCAGGGCTGTATCCAGGCAATTCAACCACAGAAAGCGTGCAATTTAACAATTTCTAGCATATTCACAGCTATGCGCAGCCATGACCACAGTCAATTGGGGAACGCTTGTAAAATTACCGTCTCCAAAAGAAACCCTTTCGCTGTCATCTCTCTCCCTCCCACACCCTCCTCCGCAAGCAACCACCAACCTCCTTTCTGTCCCTGTAAATGTACCTGTTCCGAACATTTTATATGAATGGAATCCTCTGATAGGTGGTCTTTTGTGACTGGCTTCTTTCAGTCAGCAGATCTTCAGGCTCCATTCGTGTTGAAGCAGGTACTAGGATTTCGTTCCTTGTCATGAACACGGTGCACACGTTCTCGTGCACACGTATGTTCCCATTGTTGGGAGCATGGTTTTGATAACAAGGATGATAGGGCCAGAGGGCCAGAGGGTGAGGGAAAGACACACAGACACACGGAGATGCAGACAGACAGACAGACACGAGAGAGAGGCACACACAGACAGCTGCACCAACACACACACATGCAACCACATGGGGACACAAAGCACCTGGGGACAGAGAGGCAGGGAGCATGAGCTGGACACACAGCACCTATGTGCCAGGGGCCCGCTCCCGCTGCAGCCCCGCGAGGGCAGCTAATCCATCCATCGGGCCGCGTAAGGGAAGCCTGTGTCCCGAATCCTCGGGAAGATAGATCTGCCTCGTGGGGCTGCTCAGAGAGGTGCTTGGGGGTAATCCACACGAGTGCTCACCATCATTCAAAAGTGACATATGTGAAAATGCCTGACATTCAGTAGGTGCTAAAAAAAAATCTCAGTTCTGTCTTCCCCTTTTCTCAGGATGTTCTCCATCCCTCCCTCTCCCCCTCTCTCTCTCTCCCTATCTACCTGTGTAAATGTCTATATTTACCTTTGGGCAATTGAGGGTAAATGGCCAGGATCCATAGTATTTTCTGGGGATGGGCAAGCGTCTAGAAATAGCACACCTTTGGAAGAAACGCCCTCCTTATCCACATAGCTCATGCATGAAATGATGCCCCACGGCGAGCTCAGGCTGGGCAGTGCGGGGGCCAGTGAGGAAGGAACGGGGAGAATCCACCTTCAATGTGTCTATCAAGAGGTCCAGAGCCCGAGTTCCTGGACGTTTACTTAACATTCCCGTAAAAGAAATAAAACGAAACGGAAACAAACTTACGTACAAACACTCACAGAGGCCTCATTCAGAAGAGCCAAACCCTGGAAACAACTCGCGTGGTGATATATCCCCACAGTGGACTGAGCAATTAAAAGGGATAGATTGGGGGCGCCTGGGGGGCTCCGTCGGTTAAGCCTCCAACTTCGGCTCAGGTCAAGATCTCACAGTTCGTGGGTTCGAGCCCCGCGTGGGGCTCTGTGCTGACAGCTCAGAGCCTGGAGCCTGCTTCGGGTTCTGGGTCTCCCTCTCTCTCTGCCCCTCCCCCGCCTCAGGAAGAAGTAAACATTAAAAAAATTTTTCAATAAAAATTAAAAGGGATGGATTACTGATAAGTGCAGCCATACGGTAAAAGCCTTGAGAGGAGTGTGTTGAGTCACTGTCAGCGCAAGAAAGCGCAGGATGCTAGAACAGTGAGACCATGGTGGTGATGGGAATCACAGCAGCTGCCACTTCTGGAAGGGGCAGGGAAGGCGGTAGACGGGGGGGAAGGTAAACCAGAAAGGAGCATGGGGGAGCTTTCTGGGGCGACGGAACGTTCCAGATCGGGGTATTGGCTACAAGTGGAAAACTTAAAATTTGTGCACTTTGCTGTATGTAAGTTATACTGCAGGAACGAAGCCTGTTGGGAAATCTGTCAGGGGCTCATCTGGATGACATCTGTGCTGCCAGGCGGGGCACACAACACCCAACGTGCGACTCGGCAAACAAACCCAAACACGCGGCTTACGTCCACAGCCTCCTCCTTCGACGTCTGTGCGTGTCTCTTCCTCCTCCCGGATGGGGAGCCGGTTTCCGAGGGGTCCTGTACGTTAGACTCCAAATTCTTGAGCAGACTCTGAGCATCGTCTTTCTAAAATCCAAAGGTGGGGGTGGGGAGAACACAGGGAAGCCGGTCAGCCTGGTGCCCCCATACCTCGAGCCGTCACCTCCTCACCCAACGTGTGCACATCTCCGTGCCTCTGCCTGGCCCCTCTGTGCGTAGTGCCCTGCCTCCTGCCCCCGCCCGGGGTCGGGTCAGCCACACAGCCTTCACGACTGTCCCATCCCCACTGGATCAAAAGTTACTCCATTGTTCTTCTGGGTTGGCAGCCCCTGGCAGCCTGTGAGCTCCTTGGGTAACAGTTTACTGCGGGAAACAGCCCATCAATATTAATTTTCCTGCTAACCCCCATAATGCCACTGGATGCATTTAAGAAAATATTTCAGGTAACGGTACATTATAGAATGGTTTGTATTGGGAATCACAGCTGATCCTCATTATGGGAAAGGTTCTGTATTTGTAAATTTGCTTACTTGCTGACATTATTTGTAACCCCCCCCC